CCTGAATTGTCAGGGCATGGCTACGGATACTGTGGGCGGGCGGTCAGGGCATGGCTACGGATATGGTGGATGGGCGGTCAGGGCATGGCTACGGATACTGTGTGCGGACGGTCGGGGCATGGCTACAGATACTGTGGGCGGGTGGTCAGGGCATGGCTACGGATACTGTGGGTGGGTAGTCAGGGCATGGCTACGGATACTGTGGGCGGGTGGTCAGGGCATGGCTACGGATACTGTGGGCGGGCGGTCAGGGCATGGCTAAAGATACTGTGGACGAGCAGTCAGGGCATGGTTACGGATACTGTGGGTGGGCATTTGTATCAATCTATGTATGGTATTATGATAATGAAAATTAGTACATTGTAAGTGTCTTGTCTTTATTAGAATCCTACTAAGGACAAACTGTTTTATCTTATCTATATATATAATGTCATGTATGCTATGTTTATTATTGTACGGAGAAGGCTTTTGTACATCAAGTCTGGCTAATGTCTTTTTCCTTTTATATATTAACAACATGTACAATAAATATTCTGAAACGGAATTAATGTTTGTGTCAAAATTTTAAGAGTATTGAGTGATGGCCTTAGGAGAGCAGTATATTGTTTCAGTAAGACATGTATGCATTGTAGATTTTGTGTTGGGAAAAGTGTTTTTAGTACACCTGGCTTAAAGGGTCAAATGAGCTGATGGGTGTCTGCAGCAATTGTCTGGCAGCTTTTTCAACAATCGCTACTGATCATGAATGATTAAGGGAATCTTGACCAAATTGGATAAGAATTATTCTTAGGGAAAAGGGGATCAAGTTTTGTATAACTGTTGGGTGTAGGCATCAAAATGGCTGCCTTAACCCAGTTAACAGACAGACATTACTGCTCAAGAGATTTTGAGTCAATCTGTCTTTGTACATATTTCTTCATTATTTCATCACTTTGTCACTTGAGAAATACACCATCTGCTTATATCAGATAAAGTTTACACAAGCATTAACACATTTTCCATTTCATTACTTAAAAAAAAAACATATATACAAATGTATATGACGTTACCAGGAATGTGACCTTTACAAGGAAATACCACCAGATTATTCTTTTGAATAAACTTACATTGATTGGTAAGAATTCATTCAAGTATCCAACAGTCCAAATATTGGTCTCTTGAATGATGAAAAGTCATGTAAAGGTTTAACACATTTGACTTAAAAGTTGATTGTGTAACATATCTAATAGTTTTCTCCACTACTCCTGTTTGTATAAAATATCTCCTTTTGAAATCAAAACTTCAATCATATTTCCAATGTAATCATCTTTGTTTAGTCTTTATGGTTTGTATTAATGATACACATGGATCAGGGGAAGGTCAGTGCCTTTATGATATTTATAAACATCAGCAGTGATGTCCACAGATCAATGGAAGGTCAGTGTCTTACGGATGTGTGTAACACCTAGATCACAGAAAACTGGTCAGTGCCTTTAAAATCTATATAAATATATGAAGTGATGTACATGAATCACAGGTAATTTGAGGCACAGCAAGAGGGATCTTTGTGCCCACCATTGTTTGATCTTCATTTGTTCTTTAAAAGTTGGATCTTTTCCTTTCTCTTCTCTCTCCCTTTTTTTCTCTCTCAATGATAAGAAATTTAAACATTCCATTCATTAAATGCCAAATGCAAGATGGTCACCAAGAAGCCTTTTTTTTCTGATTAGTCCTGAAATCAAACAGGCACAACTAGGGAGAGAGATTCATCCAATGCTTCTCAAGAAATAGTGTTAACAAATTTTACTTGGCAAAATCTAAGACGGACGTCTGTCGGCAATCTAGATTTGCTGCTCAGTCCCTAAAATCGAAAAGGCACGACTTAAGACCAAGAAGAACCTACAAATGAAATTTGAGAGAGCTCCATTCTGTACTTCTCAAGAAATAACAATTACAAAATTTCAAAGTCTAAATTCATGAAGGTCACCTGACAGCCATTTTGTCTTTCTGATCAGACCCAGAATCAAACAAGCATAACAAAGGACCAACAGGAACTTACTATTGAAATTTGAAAGAGATCCATCCAGTACTTCCAAAGAAATGTCAGTCATTTTGTTTTTCTGATCAGTTTCAACTTCAAAAAGGCACAACTAGGAACCAGTAGAAACTTACATATGAAATTTGAGTGAAATCCATTCTGTGCTTTTGAACAAAATAAATAAAAAAAAATTTCAACATAAAAATTGATCTGATCAGACCCAAAATCAAAGGGACACAATTTGGGACCTACATATGCAATTAGAGTAAGATCCAACCGGTACTTCTTATGAAATAACAATAACAAACTTTCAAATTCAAAACACAAGATGGCCACCTGTCAGCCATTTTGATATTTTTTATCAGACCCAAAGTCAAATAGGCACATCTAGCGACCAAAGGGAACCTTCATATGAAATTTAAGAAAAATCCATGCAGTACTTCTGAAGAAATAGCAATAACAAATTTTCAAAGTCGAAATCCAAGATGGCCACCTTTTCGGCCATTTTGTTTTTCTGATCAGTCTCAAAATAACATTGGGACAACTAGAGACCAGGGGAAACTTACATATGAAATTTGAAAGAGATTCATCCCTTACTTTTCAAGAGAAAGATCCACCCAGTACTTCACAAGAAATAGCGATAACAAAAATTGTTTAGACAGATGACCGACAGACCACGGAAGCAGAGCAATCTAAAAATACAATGCTACATAATGAAAAATTTCCAGGTTGCAAACAAGCAGATGTAAACATGTTAAAGGTATACCACATACATAAGAATGTAAGAACATCAAAATCTGTTTATGGTAAAACTTGCATTATGATTCCTGTTGTTAATGAGATGGAGTTCTTAGTCAAAATTAAAGATTACATTTTCAAAAGAGAACATAATAAAATCATATCCACAGGTTGGTATAATTTGATCAACATTATTACTGGTGAAAATTCCATCAAAACTCCTCCAATCAATCAGTACTCCTAAAGGTAGGAATATTACAGGTAACATTTCGATCAACATTCCTATTCAGTGTAGATGATAATTCAATCAAAACTCCTCCAGATAGGGATTATTCGATCAGTACTCCTAAAGGTAGGACTATTATATTGTACTACAGGATTGGATCATTCAATCAACACATTTTCCATTTTAGCATTGCTTTGTTACATGTCTATTTACCATATTTTAAAAATTCTAAACAAGAAGTCAAATGGGCCTCTCATGGTCTTCAATGCTTTTCATGAATACATTAACATTTCACATCATTTAGAGTCATGGTTAATCAGAAGAAATCATTTAAAAATTTAGATATATTTGATCTGTAAGACCTTGAATATGACTCATGATCATTTCTTTTTGGAAATTTTGTCATGTAGTATCGACCAAATATTACCAATCTATGCGTCTTGGTTAACCGGAAGAAGTTGTTCAAGGTTGGAACAAATCTGACCCCCATGGTCTTGAATAAAGCACAAGGTCATTTCTCATGAGTGTAACCGCTAAATATCATGACTCCAGGTGATGCAAAACCACAGTTAAGCTCATTTGGCCATTCGGGCCAGGTTACCTAAACATTAGAAATTTTACATATGTGCCGTAAGTGATACATAATCCTAGAGCAAGAGGCCTAGCAATGTTCAGTTGAGAGAATTGTGACTTTTCACTTGCAACTCAAATAAAACTCCAGGTAACTAATAATCACATAAAACTTTGACCAAAGTGAGAAAAGTGAAAATATGTTTATAGATATTTCATTCATCAATGTGCAACCTCAAATGTCTTGAACTTTGCTTTGAAAGGTAACTAAACTGAGTTGTTTTTCTTAATTCTGAAGAGAAATACATTTTCATAGTGCAACAGTTATGTTGATCTTCTTGTGTGCTCCCAATAGGTTTCCTCACATTGTGTCAAAAAGGGTAACTGTCCAAAAATCAATGTTTTAGACACATATGGAAACTATGTATACAGTGGAAAATTGTACTTCTTAAGATCATAAATCTGAAATTGTATTTGCAGTCTGCATGTTCATGATACTTGTATATCTGATAACTAACTCATCAACAAATATTATTAAAAGCAAACACTATTCTTTTTTTAGCAGTGTAGCATAAACTTCTGAACAAGAGGCCCAATGAAACCTGCATTGCTCACCTGGTATTCAATATTTAACAAAAATAGAATCAGTGTTAATATCATAAATATATTGACATTTACACAATTGGCATACCAAGTGAGCACATCCAATCGATTATAACCATTTTCACAACAAACAGCTTCTAATGATCATCTCTAAATGATGACAGTTGTGATCTGGATTTTTTCTCTTGAAATTTGTGGGACTTTGACCTAGAAACGACTTTTCACCATGTATACTGCTTCTCTGGTTAATGAGAAGAAGTCTTTTACAGATTAAAAAAAAAAGATCCCTTTCGCCTTCAGTATGAGTCAAGGTCATTTCTTTCAACAAAAATTTGTCAGTCATAATAGTAGGAACATACAAGTCAAATACCATGCTTCTGCCATTCAACCACAATTAGACCACTGTGACCTTGAATAAGGGTCAAGGTTATTTCTCTTCAAACTATTTGTTGGGCTTCATCCTAGGAACCTATGTTAAACACCACGCTTCTGCAACATTTGCTCACTCAGAAGAAGACATTTAAAGGTTTTAACAAATTTGACCCCTTTGACCTTCATTAAGGGTCAAGGTCATTACTTTTCACAAACTTTTTTGAGCTTTGTCCCAGCAACCAACCCACGAAATACCATTATGACATCTGGTCAGCTAGTTATTCAGACCAAGCTGTTTTAATGGGAACAGATGGAGAATACCATGCAACAGCATTAGCTAATTTGGCCCTTGTGGCCAGGCGAGCTTAAAATTGATTGGAAGCAAAATGATACATTTGATTGTCAGAAAATAAAGCCTTATGTTTTACTATACAATTAGGTAAATATGTAGGTATATATGGATTTGATGTACAACTAATAGCTTGGACTAATGGTAAGAACCATCTCATCTGAAGAATCTGAATCTATATCTGAGTTTGTTGCATGAATTGTAGAGAGAGTATTGTCAGGAAGGAATTGTGGAGTGTGCTTCATCGGTGTGCTGCTGTGTCGCTGATTGTTGGTTAATAGTTTGTCTCGCAGACTCACGAATGCACCATTTGGTCTTTTAAATGATTTTGTCCTTTCCACATTGTTTGTACCATTCATGTATGATCTTGGGCTTGATTCCAAGGTTTCACTTACTGTCTTTAGACAAGTGCTAGTACTTGGTGTAAGTGCTTTTGGTTTTGAGCTGATCTTAACAAGGGGAGATTCACATGTTGACTGCAGTGGTTTATCTTGCAAAGTTGTCCTGATCTTGTCTGGTATCAAAACATGCTTTGATTCCCAATCATCAGAATAACCTTTATAAGTACATTCAACACCGCTGTCTTGAAGTGAGGAAACTAAACTGTATCCATTATTTTCCTGTTTCCCTGCCTTCCATGGTATTGGCGACGGAAAATGTGATTTTCCTGCTCCTTCTGTTTCACCCTTAGGCACTGAAGTAGTGCTTTGATAGTTTTCCTTTCTATTGAAGTCCTGACCACCAGAATGCTTTTGATTCCTAAGAGGTGAAATGCTTTCTAAATGGTCTTGTGAAAATCTTTGACTCCTGTAATTCTGCTCTCTTTTGTTGTATAGCTTGTTCTCTAGTTGTACTTTCTGACCTTCACATGTTGAATACGATGGATTTAGATAGCTTTTGTTAGGGCATGTAGATAGATGTTTTTGTGAATATTTTTGCAAAGGCCTGTTATTGGGCTTTGGAAAATGTTGTCCTTTAGAGACTGCTGTCATTTGTGAAGAACTCTCTACACCAAACGTATCAAAAACATCAAATGCCCTTGCATTGCCCTTGTTAGACGTGGACTTTTTCAGATATTGACTTCTGTTGGAAGATACTGAGAGTTCTTTGCTTCGAACTTGATCAGGAGACAGATTCTTCTGCTGAGAATTTCTTGTTGTATGTCTGTGATACATGTTGTCCACATTAGTTAACACTGCTTCTTTTGGCCTTTCTGAGGTTGAACTTTTTTCAATCTGATTCAACTGTTGCCTTGATTTCAAAGGTGACATAATTTTACTCTCCAAATTATAATTCCTTGTTGGTTGTTTGTGGGGTGATGATGTCTTTGCTAGCTTTCTTACGGTTGACGAGGTAGGCATTTCCACTTCACCTCGATTTTGTTGAAGAGTACTATCTCTGCTAGAAGAGGGAGAAGATATAGACAGTTTGAGCCTGGCAAATATGGCAGATGGGGAATCAGGATTTTTACGAAAGTAAGGATGAAACCTTTGATCACAACTTCTACTCCTCCAAGGACTGTTTCCATTTGGTGACATAATCTTATGGGGGCTGCTCGAATCATCAGAACTGAAAAGGGATGCTCTATTCTGTTTCCGTGTCATGTTAGGGCTCTCCCATGAACTTTTGTTTTGAAAGCTTTCTTGTGTACCATGAGGACTTTTCAGTGAGCCTTGTGGAGTACTAAAAGGACTTTTCCATGTTCTTGTGTTTGTTTTTGGTGTGACTGGCTGTTCCTGGGATACATATTGGTCCTCTTTTGTGAATGAAGTTCTGGTTTGCTTCTCTGGAGAATTCAAGTTTTGGACTGAGTTAAATTCTGTGATTAACCTTTGAGGTGTTCCACTGTGTTGTTTATCCTGGTGGATCATTGTCACCTGTTTATGCAGAAAGTCCATTTCAGTTTCTGTATTGATAATATCCATCTGTTCGACTGAATCTGCATTACATTTTTGCCGCTCTAGAATGACGTTTACCCCTAGGTTGTTGTCAAAAGTGTTTTTGCTGTCCTTACAAAATACCTTGTCAGTGCTGGAAGTGGCAAGTTGTAGTCGTCGTCGGGCGTTCACTTTGTATCTCTTATCACCATGATCACACAAATTATTTGTGGTTGGAGAAAGCCATCGATAGACTTTCTCCATGGAAGTTAGCGGATCCATTGCTATTGTGGATGCTGTCAGTTTTCCTTGAGGTAAATCTTTGAGATTCTGTACCATTAGTTTACTTGGCACAGACTTGCTGACAAGCTTATTAAAAGTGTGTTTTTCTGTGGTATTTGGTAGTGGCGTCCTGCTTCCTTGTATTTTACGTTCCCTACCCTGTGCTCTGGACTGTCTTCCTATATCTACAAATTTTCTTTTTCCATCTGCTTCTAATTCGGATTCATTTCTACCCCTGAATTTCACATGGTTTTTGTGGTAGTTCTTATTTAAGTTATCTGATTTGACATCCTGGGAAAGCTTTTCTGTACGCCAAGATATGTACTTCTTATTAGGTCCATGCAAATCAAAGGACTGTGGTTGATTTTCATAGTCAGCATCACGTGAAACTTTCATACCTGTAATATCTTCATCAACTTTATCTTCAGCATGCATCTTCTGATCTGATAACTGATTTACCTTGCTATATGTTATAGGTGATGTTAAACGTTTAACAACTGTTTCTGGAGATTTCCTATGATTATCATGTTTATCTCTTGGCAGTGTTGAGGAGTGTATACATTGTCTTCCAGAAGACGTTTTCAGATCTACGATAGAGATTGGTTTCTCTCTATCAAGAACAACAGCATTTATATATTTCTTACTCTCCCGCCACCTGCCAGTTACTTTTGAAGAAGGACTCAGGTTAACTGACCATTCCACGCCATCCGAGGATCGGATTCCATCCTGTATTGAAAAAGTCAACAATAAAATTTGAAACAGCATAACAGAAGCAATTCAATGTTCACAACTCTTAATATATTTAGAATCATTGAAAATCAAAAAGTCACATTTCATTGTTATAAAACTTACAGGATAAGGTAAATTATGAAACCAATGTTTATTACACATGAATATTTTCATTGGTCATGAAAGTGAGAAAATACCAGACAAGAATTTCTCATAGGTGGATGTGTAATCAGTGATACCATAAAAAGAAAAATACATTAATCGAAGAATATATTAATAAGATATATAAATGTATCAGACAATAGGTATAGACAAATCTTCTCTAGAATATAGTTTGATATTCACAGGTACAGACAAATCTTCTTTAGAATATAGTTTGATATTCACAGGTATATACAAATCTTCTCTAGAATATAGTTTGATATGTGAGTACAGAGACCAGCAACATATGATAACATAAGTGACTTTGGCATTTGATCTCGTTGACTGCAAATAATCACAAGCAAGTACTCTTATTTTGGATTTAATGAACCCCTAAAGAACTGACTATATAGCATAGAAACCAGTTTGTGACAATTACATTAACAGCCAATGATGATAAGTGATGAAGTGATAATTCCTACTATATCAAATATACAACCTCACACTAAAAATACTACGTCACACTACAAATACAACAAGTTGATCTTCTCTGTAAACAACAAAACTGCAATAAGATAACATAGTAGATTTTCTTTGATTGTCCTCATAATCAAAGACTTACATGAAGGTTAGAGATACCGCTGTCCTGTGAGGAGGATATCAGGGTAAATTGGTCCTCCTGTCTGTCCAACCAATCATCTCCTCTGTGGTTTTGTGGGCTCCACATGTTCTTATCCTGTCTCTGATGACTAATTGTGATGTCGCCAACATCAGATTTATCAGAGTCTATTTCTGATTTCTCTGATTCGATGTGATTCACATCATTATTATCACTGTTCACATCCAAATCATCCTGCCACTCGTTGTTTGAGTCTGAAGAGGAGGAACTCAAAGTTTCTGCATCACTAGGTTCCCCTTTGTCATTTTCAATGAATGTCATCATCGTCTCTGTTTAATTGTAAAATAATTCAGACAACATTTAGTTTTATAGTCATTTTCAATCCGTGAGACAAAGTGTGTCAATTAAAAAACATCTAACCAATGAGCTTCCAACATTTCATGAAGGGAGCAAAAATATGGACAATTTTATGTAATTATATTTCACTGGCAACATATAAGAACTTAAAACTGAAAAAAAATACTTTAATTACACTGTAGTGATTTATGAATTTTCTCAAAACAGCAACAGTGACCTTGGCCCTGAAACTCAAACTTGTCCAAGATATTTTGTGCTTTAAAAGTTAGGAAGTTTGATGAGAATCCCTTGCTGAAGGAAGCTGCTAGAGTGCTAACAATTTCTAAAAAATAGTAACTCCCAAACTTGAACTTGTCCTTGATATTTTGAGCTTAATTATAAGTGCGTGAAATTTGATGAGAATCCCTCTATGAATAAAACTGCTAGAGTGCTGACAATCTTTCACATATGCTGGTAGGGATGGATGGAGAGGGAAACCTGTCCCCCCTTGTTTCACCAGTAGGGAACTTATAATTTACACATGCAAAGGGATATATGTTCTATCATGATAACAGCAGCTTTGTTGGTGTCGATATTGTCACACTACCTAATTTAGAGGGTCCCTTTGTGATGTTAACTATCCAACAGAATTGGGACATTTCGCAGTGTAATAAAGAACCGTGGTGACGTCATGGAGGTATCTTTAACTGACTCTATAAAACTGGTACCAATATGAATTAAGACAAGAGGGCAATTTGGTTAACTGATTTAAAAGACCTGTACATGATAAATAAGCAGTAGCAGTAACAGGAACAATTTTAGAATGATAAAACCAGGGCTGAATATTTTAGCAATAAAGGAGAAAAAAAAAACAGTTTCAAAACATTTCCTCAAAATTTCAAGTCAATGGCACCAGTGCAATTACCAAGAAGTTTATATATATAATATAAACTTTATTTGTTTTACAACAATTGCGAAACAAGTTATTTAAACTTATACTAATCACTCTTGTTGGCCAAATGCGCGCCTGTCATGCTCACCTGGTATATACATACCAACCAAATATCATGCCTCTCCGCCTTTCAGTTCATGAGATGTCATTTAAATGTTTTAACAAATTTGACCCCTGTGACCCTGAACATAGGTCTGGGTCATTTATTTTTCCAAATTTTGTTAAGCTTTATCAAAGGAACATACCAGCCAAATAAAATGCCTCTCATCCTTTGAGTTCATGAGAAGAAGTCTTTTAAATGTTTGAAAAAAAATGACCCTATTTAAGTTCATTTTTTGTTTTTTTTCAAAATTAGTTGGGTTTCATCCTAGGAACATACCAGTCATACTAGATTTTAGACAGACTTGAAAAATACTAACACTACTGCGGACCATCTCAGAAAAAAGTTTAAATTTAAACTATTTACACACAGGGCACAGCGAAGGATGGAATACACTAAATGGCTATAGGTCTTTCTGAGAGAGTATACAAGGAATGCCTAAGGTATATTGGCTAATGGTTTCTGTCTTCGTAAAACAATCAAAGTAACATGACACTATATACCTCGTTCCTATCTAATAAGATTTTTTTTTAATTAGTCCTGTTAAGTAGCATCACACTGAACTTTAAAAAGAATTCATAAGGTACTGGCCAACTTAATCAAGCAAAGATAATTCATAAATTAATTTAACCTTCTGTAAAAATTTTTGCCAAGACAGAAAAAGAAACATGTTTTGGGAGGGTCAATATTTACATTCAAGAATTATTTTGGGTGGAATTATTTGAAAAATTTGGATGGAATACCTTGGAGTGAGAGAAGTTCAACAGCATCTTCAGCATCATCAACTTGTTCTGCGAGTGAGAAAGTATCCAATCCCTGATTAGGATGTTTTGATTCTGTCAGAGAAAAAGTGTTGAGACTACGATGAGAACGTCTAGACTTGTCCAGCCAATCATCACCAGTTGTCTTTACACCAATCCTGGGCACAAATGAACCCCCTGAGGAATTCAGCTGCTGAAATGTTATAAACTTACAATGTCAAAAACAAAAACACAAGACAAATAGAAACAACAAGAGGTACAATGGGTCTGCAATACTCAAAAGAACAATCACATTTTCTTGTGGGGCTCAATTTTTGTGGTTTTTAAATAAAATATGTATACTATTTCCTCAGTAATGATTTCCAGGCAATATTAACTAAATAAATCTACTTATACTAATTTTAACAGTTCATTGACACATGAATTTGTGGATTATGAGTACCCACCATACCAATGAAAATAAATCATCCACGAAAATTACAAGAGTTACAATTTAAAGTCTTGGTTAGTATAAGAACAAGTCATTTGAAGATTTTAACAAATTTGATCCCTGTTGTTTCATCCTTGAAACACACCAGCTGAATAGTATGACACTTTGCTTTATGGTTATTATCAAGAATAAGCCATTTAAAGAATTTGATCCCTGTGATCTTGAATATTAATCAAGGTAATTTCTTTTGCAAATATTGTCCAGCTTCATCCCAAACATATTAGCCACTCAGCAAAATATTATGATTCTATGCCTTTTGGCTCATATTCAGAAGACATTTCAAAGTTTAAACAAGTTTGATACCTAAGACTTTTAATGTGAATTGATCAGAATAACTTTTTTGGCAAACTTTGTTTGGTGTTATTCCATGAACCTACCATCCAAATATCATTTGAGACATTTTGGTTGATCATATGTCATTTACTGGTATTTGAAGCTTTGGACAAATTTGACCTTTGTGAATTTGAATATAGATCAAGGTTATTTAGGAGCAAAAAACATTTCCTTTTATGTTATCAGAAGACAATATTAACCAATCATTATGAACAGCAAATTCACTGGTAAATGAAAACTTAAAACGATGACTTCAGTGGATTTTCAGTAACTACTTGACTAAAGTCCTACTAGATGAATATTCTTATATATCAATATGAAATTATTGATTAATATTAATTTTAATCACATCTTAATTCTACTGGTGTGATTGTAAACATGTATCAGAATAATATCATTCATGATACAAGTCATACGTATATAAACAGGTTATAATCTCTGACAGCCAAAACTTGGTTACTGGTTTTAATAAACCATCTGACAACTGTACAGTTTCCTGTTTATAGTAACTGGTGTTATTAACACAATGAACAATTCGTCAGGTTTTTGTTTTCGTTTTTCTATATTTGCGAACAGTGTGATGTAATGTGAAATAAGCTTTCATGATCTTAACAACAAAACAGAAGAAGTATTGTAAAGTTTGAATGGTGAGAAAATTCAACAAGTAATTAAATACTGAGAAAATCCTTGAGGTAACACTAGATCACCATCTGTCATTTTCGGAACATGTAGATTCTGTATTAGCTACGATAAACTGTGGTCTAGAGCAGCTTCGACTTATAAAGCTGTACTTATCAGTAACTGGAGGGCTGACATATTTTAATTCTTGTGTACTTCCACATTTTGTTAATTGTTGTACTGGGTGGAGTGGCTGTAAGGGCAGTATAATGAAAAAGCTATATAAATCCCCAAAACGTGCTGCACCCCTCGACTTAGATGCTCCATTTGACACCCCATTAAAAGACATGTTTCATCAGTTAAAATGGATGCCTATTGCCTTATATATACACAGTAAAGAAAATCAATAATTACTTTCAAATGTTAATGGATTTGTTCCCGATTATTTATGCCCTCGTTTTAACCCCGTAAACAATGTCCATTCTAGAATAACACGCTACACAGACCAGCATTTTTTTTTAATGTAAGCACAGAACTGAATTTTATTCAAGTAATTTTATTGTGTCCGACTGTCAAATCTGGAACCAGCTTCTTATTGATGTAACATCATCACCATCATTAAGTAATTTTAGAAAGTAAGCAATAAAGCATTACTGCGATATGTCCCTTTAAAAGGAACAATATCACCTTTCTAATATATGCCGTTTTAGCATGTATTCTGGCAATCTTTATATCTTGCTATATTATAATGCATGCTGGCAATTTTTATATCTTTGCTATATTGTAATGCATGCTGGCAATTTTTATTTCTTTGCTATAATATAATGCATGCTGGCAATTTTTATATCTTTGCTATATTATAATGCATGCTGGCAATTTTTATATCTTTGCTATATTATAATGCATGCTGGCAATTTTTATATCTTTGCTATATTATAATGCATGCTGGCAATTTTTATATCTTTGCTATATTATAATGCATGCTGGCAATTTTTATATCTTTGCTATATTAGCATTTATGTATATGAGGCTTCGGCCGTATAACTTAATTAGTTACCATAAGCATGAAATTTGCGCTTTCTGTGATAATCAGGGTTTTAGTTATTATTGTATGTAATTTATTTTTAGTCATATTTCATGTATTTTAAGCACAGTATATCCTTTATCTATGTAACTTTTTAACTTTAGAATGTCTGTAGATTATTATGTACCTAGAAAACTACACTAACCTTGAGGACTCTGAAGGAGATTAGCCCTTGGTTAAATTAGGCTCAATAAATAAAGTTTACTGGTATTATCATCATTATTGGGTGTGTGACGGGTATTTTTAAGGCAAGTGTCATTCAGTCAAGGTAGTGTATCAGGGATCTTGAGAGGAGATCCTAGAGGGATCTTGGTGCTCATTATGCCATCATTTGATCTTAATTTGCTCTTTAAAGGTTAAATATTTTCCTTTCTTTTCTCTTCTTTCCTCTGCTTTTAACCCTATTTATATGAAACCTGAAAATGCCTCTCAGTTTCAGATAACAATTACTATTGTTCAAAATGTTTTATTTCTCAAAACCAAAATTGATCAAGATTATCAGATTCAAAATAATGCGAGCCGACACTATCTGTTGTGTCTACCACCCATTGCTGTTTTGATCAGAGATAGCCGAGTTCATCAAATGACCTTTGAGGACCTCGTTTTAACCCAATGTTTTGATAGAATTTCTTACTTTGTATAATTATGTAATTAGCCAAAACTTAATTTATCAGCCATGGTTCAATTCTTACTTTGTAAAATGACCTCTTGTTTCATGATATATGCATGACAGTCGAAATAAATCAACTTGAATTAATCAGAATCTAAAATTGCATGTGCAAAGACATTGTTTACTCATTAGCGTTTGTTCGCTCCTATTTTGATAAATTTTTTGATGTTGCAAATACAAAAATTTCATAATCAACAGAAAGTACACACTTGTAACAGATATTTGAATGTTATAATGCTTTTTATCAGTTATGAAATGAATATTTAATATAATTAAGTCCCTTACTTATGGTATATTTCACTTTTTCACTTTTCTGGGTGCTATGCCCCCCCCCCCCACACACACACCTTTATTATCTTTGTATTCTTTATCTATATTTTTTCCAGACCAGGATATGTTTTGCATATATGTTAATATAATAAATCAATATGAGAAACCAACATTTTGAGATCAATATAAAAAAGACAGAGAGTGTTTTCTCATACCTTACTGCCATAATCAGTAGATTCACTCCCTGCAGTACTCATTGAATATGATAACAAACTGTTGTCCTCTTGAATGAGCATGGATTCTTCTATGGAAAAAATAATGACAAAATCTATACACAGTCAATAACATATACTAGACACAGCAGCATGTTGTCAGTAGATTTATTTTGAGTAACTTGATATACATGCAAACATATAGACCGAGATTAAAAATCACAAATTTAATTTAACACACTGCGGTCTGTTGTCAGAATTCATTATCATGATTTGTGATTAAAATATTTTCAGTGTTGAATGATCAGAATGGTGGTTTTCCATTGGTTCCACTTAAATCCATCTTTGTTTTTGTTCAGAGGCAAATAAAACCAAACAGTGACAAAGTTGTTCTGTTCCATCTTTGACTCTTTTGATCAAACTTTTAAATTTGCATTTAGACACCAATTCAACCAATATCCATGAAAAAGTCAAGTTGTGTTTAGCAGCCTATATAACATGGTGTAGTCTGCGAAGCACAATGTCATAATCAGGATATAATTTTCATCATTAGGATATTTCTGTAACCTACATACATGTATATACTTTATAAAGATGATAGATAGAAAATGCTGTTTCTTATTGAATATCTTAGTATTTTCTTTGTAAATAAATGATGATTATTAATAAAGAAAATATCATTAACTTTTTATTTTCAAACTATTTAAACTTCAAATTTTTTGTCTCAAAGATTTCAATGTCTATCTCCAACAAAAACATGTTCAGGTAATTTAACAATTACCCAAGTAACTTCATAGGTTTAATGGTAACATACACAACAACATATCAAATGCATGCATTGATACAATATCCAATCCAAGGTTTGTCAGTAATGCTAACGAGTACAGTAAATAATGTGATCCTCTAATTTCTAAGGATAATTTCAGTAAGGTTTGGAAAAAATCCAAAGATAAACTTCACAGAAGAAATTGATTTAAGCTTTCGCACTTATAAAAAACTGGTTGGCCCTATTGCTGAATGCATATGTACCATTTATTTCTGGTCCCGACATTTGTTCTTGTAAGTTTAAAGTTTATTAAAGTATGGGTAAATGAACACCATATTGCTGCATGTCATTTCAAGACTTACAGCACCTCAGTCATCGATATTGAATATTATACATTATCATATATATTGTAACCATGGTTATAAAATTGTGTGTAGAAATCTCACTTATCAAGAATAAATCAAGAATCTTTATAATTGCTACGATGTAGTTTATCAGCACTCCTGGCTTCATCCTTGACAGGGTATTCTATCGGCATAACAGAAAACTCAGATTGATGAAGCATTTTGTGGTTTCAATTTTGATTCTCTTTGATTATAAAGCTACATTTTGTATATCATACCTTGCCTTTTTGTGTGGCATAATTTAGTGTGACCAAAATATCTGGGTGACTGTCTGTGTAGCATTCCTGAAAAAAAAAAGCAATCATGTACATAGCTATATCATACATATATTAGGCTAAAATTTGAAGATCTTTTGCTTTGTATATTGTAGAATTTATGTTGTATTTGATAGTCTTATCCTGTTTAACTAACAACTAAATAGGTTTTATAAAACAGGTGCTAAATTACCTATACACAGAATTTGCTTATTGCATTGTCTCTGAAAAAACTTGATACTATATTTTTTTTGTTTCTCTAAGCACTATAGCATTTCCTTTATAACAGGTCATTGTGGTCAGTACTTTACAACAATAACATCGTTAATTTGAAAAATTTATTTTAAAATTTACCTTTGTTTTTTGTTATTTCCAAGTTCTCTAAATCCACAATGTCAACATATTTGGAAGGTTTTCCATACTAGAAAAAAAAGAAAATTGGTATATGTTTGAATATGAAGTATTTTTTCAGAATGTACCAGTAATTTAAATTCCATCAAACCAATATGTTATACAGCAAGAGGTCTATAGCTCAAAACAGTCATCTGATGATCAAACATCAAGATATAGCTACAATATTCAGTATCCAAATGAAATGAAAAACAGAAATATTTGGTCAAAACTTTTCCACAACTGCAGGAGGTGAACAACACTTATATAAGAAATTACTGTCCTTAATTTGAAGACCAAATCTGACTAAAATCCATTCAACCATGTAGGTAGAGTAGCATTTTAAAGTAAACTTTTAGCCAAGTTCCTGTTAAGGGGTTCCCATCCCAATGTCCCTAGTAGTCAAATCAACTTAATTTATTGGAGAATGATTGCCATTTTTCAGTGATGAGTCAGATCAAGTTTGGTGAAATCCACAGAGGTATCAAAGATGATTAGCATTTACAGACAACACACGATGATGGAGGCATGATAGCAATAGATCATATTCAGATTCTATGGATCAGTTGATCTGGAAACAGCTTTAATTTATGGAATTTATATAGTGAATGGAAAAAAAAACTAGAAAATGTCTGTAAGACATGAATGCCCCCGCCCCCCCATGTGAAATAATAGTGAAAGGTCCGAATGAAGTTGTTAGGTGGTATATACTGATTTGGGACACGGCGCGGCGCGACGGGACGGACATGGGCAACGCTATATGCCCCGGCCATAAATGGCGGGGGCATAAAAAAAAGAAGGTGGCCTGGGAGTTTACTGATATTAATTAATGTGCTCCATGACCTTATTGAGGAAGTAGGTCAGGTATATGGGGTGTTAGTTTCAAAATTTGTTTTTCAGCCAATTGGTACAACTCTACCATATAATAAAAAATAGAACAGAAATTCTTAAAACACAACCAGAAGAAGTGTTACATTTCAATGACTACACAGTCAACTTTATCAGATAATCAGCCAGTGTGAAGCATACTAGCACTGACATACATATAGTCTCCAAGATGGAAGGGGATCAACAATTTTTATGTAGCGTTGCCCGTGTCCGTCTGTCCCGTCCCAAATCAGTATATACCACCCAACAACTTCATTCGGAAGGCAATTTTCATGAAACTTCATACAAATATCAAGTATGGAAAGACCTCATGCAGTGTTGAATTTCTCAGCATTCTAAAAAAAGATGGCCACCAGGGGGAGATAACTCAAAAAAGAGGAACATCATCTTATTTCTACATAATTTGGTACTTGTGGGTTTTAAGGCATAAGGAACTAATATACTCCCTCATTTTTTCCAGAGAACAAAATTCCAAATTCATGTACGTTAAATCAACTTGTCAATTTAAGTATGAAACTTAAGTTGTACATAGTTGCATACAAATTAACAAAATCATCTCTTTCGGACCTTTCACTATTATTTCACATGGGGGGGGGGGGGGGGGGGGGGGGGGGGGATGGGGGCATTCATGTCTTACAGACATTTTCTAGTTTCTAGCTGTACTACATACATCTGTATATAACCTTATGTTGTACTCTGAGCTAGAAATAGTAAAAAGATTACAGAAAAAAGTTCACAATATTGTTATAATGTACTGTAGTCAATTTGGCTATGCTTTGTTTAAAAAAAAAAGAGGATAAGTTGCTAAGAAGTTTGGGATTAACATCCTCACAACAGCAAGGTCTTATAAGGATGGATGTCAAGAAGGAGACATATAACTACATTGTATATTTAACGCTAAACATGTATAAAGTATACAATGAAAGAGTTTAAGGGGCAAAGCAGGAAATAAAAGAGAGCAAAATATCAAGATCCTAAGTGGGGTAGCAGATATATTTTGGTCTCCTTCAATTCCCTTGGAAGACAGAGAAAATCTGATTCTGCAGGGGACCCGCCCTCTGAAATTACAGTGGAATGCAGCAGACTAAATTCTGGGTTCACCAATATCAATGTTACTTAAACAAAAGGTGTCCAAGAAATCACCCCAATCTACAAGGATAGTAATCTAGTATTGTCATCAAGAGGTCTGCCAAGGGACTTGATCTGTTATAGACAAAGATGATACATCATATACCCAGTTGGATTTATTTTGCCGGATGATATGCAAGGATGTAGATTTAATCATACTATAAATAGAGCATATTCGTGGAAATCATGTTACAAGCAATCATGTGGATTGTTTTTTGACCAAGTCACCCACTAATGCTGTTTCAACTTTATGAGGTTATATTTTTATCAATGAATGGGTCATCTAACACTTCGTATATTAAACTCTGTGATTGTCTCCTAAGATGTCGGGTACGTTGCTGTAAACATTGATAATGATTATTTGGGGTTTCTGCTTTGGATTTCAGATTACAATATTCTGACTTTGGTTACATTATAAGGTTTTCTGAAATACAACAAATGTTAGAAATGATTTTGGTGCAGCACAATTAACTGATAAAGCAACCCATCACCAACATCAACCTGGCTCTGGGACATTATATGTAGGTAGATAGTTACTAATACTAGTAGCATCCGGCCCATTTGTGAATTTCATCGGTATCCCACAGGAATCGCACATTCTGTAAGTTATGGATATTAGTATACTGCTGAAATAGCAGGAGCTGTATAAATATAATATTATCAAAATGACAGGGATGATACAGTCTGCTGTTTTAGTAGGGTAGGCATATACTGTAATGGTTAATCTTATAAATGTATATTTCATAGAGTAATAGATGGAGCTCAGACATTACGCTTATCTATGATGGAATCCGGATCTGAAAGGAGGTATCATATCATACATTTAATCATAATTCTATTTACCTTTTCTATGATGGCATCAATGTTGGCATTATAACGTCGGATGTTTTCCCTTTCTTCTAAAACAAATCTTTTCAAATCGCCCGCCATGTTGTTCGATCGGAATATGACGGTAGAAAAGTCACGAAGAGTTACGATGGTCCGGAAAACGTCGGAAATAACCGAACGTTGGCGGAAATTCCACTTTCGTTTTACTCGACTGGATAAACGAATCTATCACCACGAAGAATTAATTTGATGTCATTATTAATTAATCTATGGAAATGTAAACTTAAAATGATTATTAATTAAACGAGACATGTGGTAAGTTCTAAGAAGCCGTCATGAACGTGTGCATATTTTATATTCCGCTAAAGTAACTGACTGAGTCATTTAACCAAGAAGTATATTGCCTGTCACATTTATGTTTGAAGTGAAATGATATGAAAAATACAAAGCAATAATTTAGGATTTTCTCAACTTTTTTCAGTCATATATGTAGTTGTTTGCTAGAAGTATATTTCTCAAAACTGAAATCTTTATGTACAAACAAAATGTTTGAAACAAAAAAACAAAACTTGCGATTCGCACAGGTACTTGTGGACTCAATTTCAATAGCACTTAAAAATAACAAAACACGCAACAGCCTTATATAAGTACCTGTGGTAATCAAGTATATTCATTAAAACAATACCCAATTGAAGTTTTTCTTAAATAAGCTCTTTAAACTTGTGAGGCGTATACTGTTTGGTTTCATATTCAAACTAAACGAAAATACATCCAGATATCAGTTTTCTAAATAAATACTGATACGTAAATGTAATTGTGTGAAAAAATTGTAAGATTTTCGATTGCTGAAAATATAAACTCACCAACAAAGTATGATTAACAGTCAACAATTTGAGATTCAGGACAGAATGATGGGTCAATATATATTAACTTCCTTTTTTGTGTGTGTATCAACTTCCTTTTACCTGTTTGCATAATACTATTGTGTGTATCAACTTCCCTTTTTTCATAATACTTGTGTGTGTGTGTATTAATTTCCTTTTAGAACAAGGACATTATTTACAAATTTTCAGCAGTATCCTTAGGTGAAGGGAAACAAATTTTCTTTAAATGGTTGGTCTCTTCTCCCTAGATTGGGAGAGGTGGGACTCAATAGAGGAAATAAAGCAAATTCTTTAAAATCCTACTTCTCCTATAGAAATTATTAGATTTTATACATATTTGGTCAGAAAAATCCTAAGGTGAAGGTATTAGTTTGTATAAATAATGGGTCTTAGTTTATTGGCTCATTTGGGCAGGAGGGGTGGGGTTCGATGGGGAAATAGAGCAAATTATTTAAATTCATTCTTCTTATGTAGGAATGCCCGGATTTCGCCCTAGTTTGGTCAGAAGTATCCTTGGGTGAACAGAAATCAGTTTTGTATATACTGTGGTTTTGGGCTCTTGGAGTGGGAGAGGTGGGACCCAAGAGGGAAAGCATTCTTGGACGAATGGAATTCACTTTCTATAAGGTAATGGATCCTTCTCCTCCTGTATGAATGGTTGGATTTTGCCAAGATTTGGTCTGAAGCGTTCTTGGATATAGGGAAATTTATTTAGTATAAACCATGGGTCTGGACTCCTTTACACAGGAGAGGAGTTGTCTGATAGGGGAAATAGTGCCAATTCTTTAAAACCCTTATTCTTCTGTTGCAATCACAGGACACCATCCAAATAGGGTCTCAAAGCACTCTTAGTTGAAGATGTCAGTTTTGTACCAATTGTTGATATCAACCCACTGGGCTGGGAGGGATGTGGCCCAGTAAGGGAAATAGTGCAAAGTCTTCCCTTTTTCAAAAATGATGGGATTTTGTCCAAATTTTATTTGAAACATTTTTTTTGTAAAGGGAACTCAGTCCTTGTATAAATGAAGGATCACACCCCTTTGGTGCCATATGGATGGAGTCAAGTAATTGTGATAGAGGAATATCTGGAAAATCTGTCTTCTTCAGTAAATAAGATATCTAAAATCCTTCCCCTTCTGATTAGAACAAACAATTAGGACCAAACTAAACCAGGTAAGGGATACAGGCCCCATGGGATCTTGTTTGATAATATATATGATATCAGTAGTGTTTATCAATTAATGCTGTTTCATAGCTATTGATTTTGTGTCGATTAACCAATCAATCGGTTTTGATTATTTATTTCATCAACCTTTCATACTAACAAAAACTTGCTCCCTTGTTTAATCATTTCAGAATTGAAAGTATTACCATTGCTTTCTCCATGAACTATGGGAAGTATTAACTCAAGTAAGTACACATGACCAGGTATATATACAGATGTTTGATGCTACCTTAGGTATTAGGGCTTTCGTAATGTTAATAGCCTACTTCAGATATTTTGCTGAATACTTAAAGGAAATTATCATTAAATTAAATGTGTCTTACCTGTAAGTTGATATTTGATGTCAAATAAATGCATATATACAGTTTTAACATAAGAACGATGAAAATATAATTGTACTGCATTAGTACAAAATATGTGATGTAAACAGTACAAACCATGCGTAAAGCTAGTGTAAAGCCAGTGGAAAGTCCAGCTGACCAACACATCACGAAAATGACCTATGTATATACTGGCAGTTACAAACATAAGTTTATGATTAGGCATTGTTTCCTCATTTTGTGAAGAAATTTGATAAATAAGAAATTTTGGGAATTTGGCTCGAATATGAAATAATTCTGATTGGAAATGGGGTTCATTATTGGTCCCAAAAAGCCCTGAAAATCTGAATATGACAAGGGAAGGAATCTTCATATCTAAATATGTGATATATAACTGCATGAGAGAGAACGGAATTGACAATCATCAAGAGTTCAATTGTATTTTCCCACAGAATAATGTGCAATCACTCTTACATAGTTATTGTACACTACATTTACAGATGGACATCACTAGTGAGTGGTCAGTATTTCTATTTTTTATCAAAAAGGGGATATCTGCAACTGCCTTTTTTATATATTACTTAAAAGTTCCTACTCACGGTAAAAGTACATACACTGTACTCCCTATATATACGATTCATGCCTGTAAGTTATTGGTTTGATTTAGATGTAGGTAAATGTTTTTGTGCTCATTTAACTGAGACACTAATTATAGCACATGGAAGTTTTGCTGAGGTAATAGTTTCTTATGAGTACTGTGTTGTCATGGTTTTAGACTTGGATATTGCTATTTCTGGCCTGTCTGGAATTAACCGCTTTCTCAACTGTAAACTGTATTATTTTAAGATCCATTATTTAAACTTTCAATAGCATCTCATGCTGGTGATTAAATTTGTTAATATTTCCTTTGATTTTTTTCTTTTCAAGTCTTCATAAAGCAACATCAGCAGTATGTTATTCTGTCATTTGGGACCTCTTAGGACTTTCTCACAAACCATTAACATCCCAAATGTTTTACATGGATCAAACTCTGGTTTTGGTTTGTGTTGAGCATGTGAAAGTGGCAGATTCTGCAGATCTCCAGACTGAGAAAAAAATCAAAGATGGATGTATTGTCCTCTTGTATTGAAAAATAACAAATTCTTCCATTAATTGTCCAGGAGATCAAACAACAAGATACACTTTATGTTTGTAGGGGGTTAGAGCTACTAGATTCATCAATACAGTTAACCATATCACTGAACTGGTGTACTCAGATAAGTGATGGGGTTAACTGTGATTACATCAAAAACAAAAGCAAAAACACAAAAAAAAGCCCAACAAAAAGGGCATCCCTGTAATGATATTGGTATTTGGTTTCCAGGTTTGTAAGATAAGTATAATTATAGTTTGCTTATTTCAAAACCAACAGATGCAAGATGTCCAATGAAAAAGAAACCCAACGTCTGGATATATGTTTCCATTGTTTAGGTGTAGTATAAGTAGGGGTGACTATTGAGGCTGAAATAGGTATCACGACAGTATTTCATTTCATTTCAGGATATCTTATTGATATAAACAATCAATAGGGTTAGACAGGCTAGAGTCTTTATAAGTCTTCTCCCAAAAGTATTGCACGACAGTATTGCAATAGTGAAATTACTGTTGTGATATTATTCTGATAGTTAAGTGACTATTGCTATGCTAAAGTGATAGTTTTTGTTTTTACTTTTAAAATATGTTATCTTACCCAGAAATAAACAGAGGTCTCTAACCATTTAAATGTATCAGAATGCTTAATTCAGCAAACGTTATAATCATTTCATACGTAAACATGCTATTCGGCGATATTCGTCGCGAAACTCATACACAGCTCGACTCAAGACTATTATTTTCATGTAAGTCTTAGTTATACAATAGATTTAGTAGAATTCCTCATTATTTCAAACTTGTTTTATATTTTAAAAGGTGTTTAATCAATTCAACAATCATATTATTGTTTTGTTTTGACAGTAAGTTTGACACATTGTTGGGAGAGCCATGTTGAATAATATAGTACAGTATAGGTCTAGTAAAGATAGGATCATATAGGTAATTACCAAATTCAGGTACCTGTAATTTCCTCACCACGTGTATAATTTGATTAGTGTTGTTCTTAATTTTCACATAACAAAAATGCTGCTACTGTCTGCCATGTCGTTTATCAAAATGGATAATTTCTAGGATGGGTTTAAAACATAGACCTGAAGTCAAAAGAAGTCACCATCTCCCCTACCATATGTTGTAGATTTAATTAGATCACATTGGAAACAATAACGATATTACACGTATTTAAGATACAAACTCTCATCAATGTGCTTAACATTCTGTGCTTAACATTCTGTTTCCATTCGAAGTTGATGATTGTGCCGTTCTTGTATCTAGCCCTTATCCAAGTCCCAAAGATGCTTTAAAAAAAAAATGAATGCTTGAATCCATTTATAACTCTATGAAAAATCTTGCTTTCAAGTAGCTTTTTTGTTTAGTTATAAAACATTTTATAATTGAGTAAGCTCTTGCGATAAGCATCGACTTGAAAACATGTTATTGACCTATTGCCATCAAGAGCAAAACTATCGCAATACATCAAAAAGTCAACCTATTGTTATATTTCTACTAAAAATACCAAGTGTTTACTGTTACTATAGATACCAAGTGTTTACCGTTACTATAGATACCAGGTGTTTACCGTTACTATAGATACCAGGTGTTTACCGTTACTATAGATACCAGGTGTTTACCGTTACTTTAGATACCAGGTGTTTACTGTTACTATAGATACCAGGTGTTTACCATTACTATAGATACCAGGTGTTTACCATTACTATAGATACCAGGTGTTTACCATTACTATAGATACAAAATGTTTACTGTTACTATAGATACCAGGTGTTTACCATTACTTTAGATACCAGATGTTTACCGTTACTATAGATACCAGATGTTTACCGTTACTATAGATACCAGGTGTTTACCATTGCTATAGATACCAGGTGTAAACCATTGCTATAGATACCAGGTGTTTACCGTTACTATAGATACCAGTTGTATACCGTTACTATAGATATCAATTGTTTATCATTTCTATAAATACCAGGGTTTTATCGTTACTATAAATACCACATGTTTACCATCTTATGTGGGTTTGTGTTATATGAATGTATGTTTTTTTTGGCTGATAGCTTTTAATTCAGCTAGAAATCCTACAGATGAGCCATCTGCTTCACAAGCTACGAGAGTGAAGAGAGCTATGACAGCAGCCTCGGGTTCTGGCAGAAGGTTCAGGACCATCGGCAATGTTAAAGTAACCATCGTTAATGAAAGTTTTGTTCAGCAGAAGGTAAAAGGATTTTAAATTGTTTTCCAAATTCCTTAATGTTGTCAATATCAGTCCATTTCATTCAATAATTGTGGAAATTAGGCCACAGTCAGTGATTGTCAATAATTGTGGAAATTAGGCCACAGTCAGTGATTGTCAATAATTGTGGAAATTAGGCCACAGTCAGTGATTGTCAATAATTGTGGAAATTAGGCCACAGTCAGTGATTGTCAATAATTGTGGAAATTAGGCCACAGTCAGTGATTGTCAATAATTGTGGAAATTAGGCCACAGTCAGTGATTGTCAATAATTGTGGAAATTAGGCCACAGTCAGTGATTGTCAATAATTGTGGAAATTAGGCCACAGTCAGTGATTGTCAATAATTGTGGAAATTAGGCCACAGTCAGTGATTGTCAATAATTGTGGAAATTAGGCCACAGTCAGTGATTGTCAATAATTGTGGAAATTAGGCCACAGTCAGTGATTGTCAATAATTGTGGAAATTAGGCCACAGTCAGTGATTGTCAATAATTGTGGAAATTAGGCCACAGTCAGTGATTGTCAATAATTGTGGAAATTAGGCCACAGTCAGTGATTGTCAATAATTGTGGAAATTAGGCCACAGTCAGTGATTGTCAATAATTGTGGAAATTAGGCCACAGTCAGTGATTGTCAATAATTGTGGAAATTAGGCCACAGTCAGTGATTGTCAATAATTGTGGAAATTAGGCCACAGTCAGTGATTGTCAATAATTGTGGAAATTAGGCCACAGTCAGTGATTGTCAATAATTGTGGAAATTAGGCCACAGTCAGTGATTGTCAATAATTGTGGAAATTAGGCCACAGTCAGTGATTGTCAATAATTGTGGAAATTAGGCCACAGTCAGTGATTGTCAATAATTGTGGAAATTAGGCCACAGTCAGTGATTGTCAATAATTGTGGAAATTAGGCCACAGTCAGTGATTGTCAATAATTGTGGAAATTAGGCCACAGTCAGTGATTGTCAATAATTGTGGAAATTAGGCCACAGGCAGTGATTGTCAATAATTGTGGAAATTAGGCCACAGTCAGTGATTGTCAATAATTGTGGAAATTAGGCAACAGTCAGTGATTGTCAATAATTGTGGAAATTAGGCCACAGTCAGTGATTGTCAATAATTGTGGAAATTAGGCCACAGTCAGTGATTGTCAATAATTGTGGAAATTAGGCCACAGTCAGTGATTGTCAATAATTGTGGAAATTAGGCCACAGTCAGTGATTGTCAATAATTGTGGAAATTAGGCAACAGTCAGTGATTGTCAATACACTGTAATTGTGAAGTAGGTGATATTCTCAATCCAGGGATTAACTTAATATAACAACTGAATAAAATCATGTTACTTGGTATTGTCTTCAACCTTTACTGAATATTGATATACAAATTAATACATTAAATCCATTTTCATTTGACAAAAATGCTCTAACAATTTTAGATGAATGTTCTGTCATAATGTCATGTCAATGCCTCTCCACACTTCAAGTTGTTTTATTTATCTACTTTTAAATAACAATTTACTGGTACACTAATAATCTATGGAGAGAAACATTTTGAATTTTTTTTCCAAATACCTCAACCTATATCTTGACCCCAATCTATTGACAACTTACCAGGAAAGTGAGTGGAGCTTCTTCCTATGACATCAGTAGTTGAAAGGAGTGTTTTGATTGGCTAAGATAATGTGAGGGACCGTTTCAAACAAAATCATGCACTGCTGGTTTTAGTTTTTGTTAAATTTTTATTGATATTGCGATAATTACAACACTTCTGTTTTAGAATCAAAATATTTCAGAACGGAGATAGTATGCTTGCACTTGATTGCGTCTCATGTTAAAACCAAAATAAACAAACAAACATACTATCCTTTCAGAGCCAAGAATTCCTATGTACTTGACAGAAGATTAATTTTGACTTTTTTTCAGTTAATTGACTTTAAAAATAACATGAAAGCTTTTCATCAAAACATCATTAGACAAATCTTATACAGAATTAAGACATCTAGAATTGCCTACTGAGAGTACAATTATCTATATACATGTGATTGTTAATCATAATGATAAACTAATTTTCACTGATTGTATACAACAAGGTAAAGCAGTTTACCTGAAGTCATTTCTTGTCTTGGGGAAAGTTATAGCTATAGAAAAGGCAAGTTCTTTTCAGGTACAAAAAAATAGAGATGATTGTTCATTCTATCATGTATGAATATTTTTGATGAAACAGAAGCTTCATGTGATATAGTTTTGCTAGTACAGCAGCTTGTATAGAGCATTGAAATGATATTATTCAGTGACCCAGGAGAGCAGTTGTAATTGAACAACTTGAACTTACTCTAACTTCACAGGCAGATGTCATTGTCAACTGTGCTTCAGCAGACCTTGACCTCACCAAAGGTCGTGGTGCGATGGCCCTCGCTCAAACTGCAGGCCCAGATGTACAAAATGATTTGAATAATAATTACAGCCAAAATATAAATGAAGGGGATGTGGCAGTTTCTGTCCCAGGCAATTTGAGGTGTCGAAAAATCTACCATGTGTACCTGACTAAGTGGAATAATGACACAAGGGTAAGAAAATAGGGGTCTGTCTACAAAATAGATGTCATAGGCTTAAATATTGAATTATTGAAAGAAAATTCATCAATATTAGATTTCATGTATTACATACATGTCCATATATTATTTAAATGCTTGATATAGTGAGTAATATTGGACCTTAATGCTAAAAGTTGACCAGTATTCAATGAGGCTTGTAATTCTGTATAATTGATAGTATTCAACATTCACCATCATGATTCATGTATATTAGTGTTAGTTTATAGTCTTGTAGTATACACTTTAATTATCATTTTGTAAACTTCTACTAACAGGACCACTGTATGTTTTACATGTTGATGGCCCTAATGACCTTTTTATGTGTTGACGGGTCATTAAGAATGTCATAGTAATAATAATTGTGTTAACAGGCTTTATCATTCTGCTCTTGCATTACAAAGAATATTTAGAAAAGTTGAAATAAACACAGCAATTTGTCATCACTTCCAATTATGCACGAACAGTTATTCTTTTACCGTAGTGTTAAATATTTTGATGAGATATATGTCTACATATTGTGTTTCACTAATAGTTTAGATCATGTTAGTATCCTTTCTTTTACATTCTATGGTGTGACATGTTGCTTTATTTTAACTTGTTTCTGCAAAAGAGAGCCTGTCTTACTACATACAGTTTTATAATGTGTGTAAACTGACTATTACATATAAATGCATTTTGATCATTGTAGGGTTTGTACAAGGTCATTACAAACTGCTTGTTGCTGGCAGACAATTTCAAGGTGAAAAGCATTGTGTTTCCCAGTCTAGGGACAGGATATTTGAGGTATCCTTATGATAAAGTCATCAAGACAGGCTTTGATGCTCTAGAAGCATTCTCACGAGCTCATAGCTCTTCATCTATAGAGACAGTCACGTTTGCCGTATATGACACTGAAACATACCAGGTGAGTTTGATCATAATTAAACTTGCACATTATTTCTATTTTCATAACATTGTCAGCATTATTGTAATTTTGATAGTGATATTGATTACTTGAATGTAAAAATTATCAGTAATAGAAGGTATCCATTGTTAAATTATGGTACAGCAATTATCCAAGATGGTGGACACTAGCGTACAAGGAGGTGGGGATGCTCACAAGTGTGCCCCCTCCCGACTGTTAGTAAATATTTTTCCACTCAGGGAGAGGGCTTATTTGCAGTGAAATATGGTAGAAAAATACATGTCAAATTTTCTTTTTAAACTAATTACTGTAAATGATATTTTCATTGTTTAAAAATTGTGCGGCTTTACCAGAAGTACAAAACCCAGAAGATTGTAATTTTAATGGGAATTATGAAAGTAAAATAGATCTTTGTTATTTTATCCAACCATCAAAAAAAGTGAGACAGAAAAACAGCATCAGTTACTTCATTTCACAGCTATTGAAATAGAAACATGAGTGATATCATAGATGAAAATTAAGTTATTTTTTCCTATGAAGATTTTTTTATCAGGCCATATTTAGAATATCTCATTTGCATGATTTAGATATTACAGGATTTGTATTACAAAATATAATGAGGACTGTAAATAAAAAAAAGCTATGAAGCTAGAAGCTATAGTAATTTAGACTTAAGTTTGAGGTTTAAACACAACATTAGTGAGACAGACAAAATCACATTTACTTTAAACTATGAATGAAAGAATTTGAGTTTGAAAGAGTTTGAGTTCATAGATGAAAATAACTCATTAAAAGTGATGAGCTGTCAATATTACTTATTGTTTGTATCAAGGTGTTTCAAAACGAAATCCGACAGTTCAGGCCTGGGTCACAATCTTCAAGACACCGGTCTTCTGGATCAGGCAATACAGGTATATAAAACCTAGAGATGTTGTAATGTCTGTGAAAAAAAATAGTTTCCATGAAATCATATAGGTATGATTAGAACATTATATGAATACTGTTGTATATATTGATAAGCACCCAGTTATTGTATAATGCTTGTATTATCAAATTTCTAAATTTATGTTAAAATGAAATTTCTTCATGTACATTAACTTGTATGTTGATGAGATGTTAAATTGCTATTGTGTAAATAGAATGTTTGTTATTTATGTACCAATTGGTACATTTCTGTCACCTTCTTGGCCAGAATAGGTCACCAGCCAGTAAAGCACATGCTCACTAGTATGTAAAGTGTCCTGCAATTTGGTAATAAGATTGTAGGTTTATTTCAGCTATACAGAAGTCTGAGTGTTTATGACTATCTGCCTCTCTGTCTTGTTTTTGTCTGTGACTTTTTGGTCCAGATTTTGCAGTTTTTACATCATAACTTTTCAATATTTTTGACATTGTATTAAGGACACTGTTATGTTACAGCTGGAGCAACGGCAAACAGTACTTATGTATCTGTACAGTTTGGTCAGATAAATTTGGAGGTTGTGATGGGAGCACTACCACAACAACAGGTAATATAAAATGGGACAAGGGTGGGTATTGTAATGCAGGCAAGGGTGGGTAATATAACATGGACAAGGGCGGGTAATATAACATGGGCAAGGGTGGGTAATATAACATGGACAAAAATGGGTAATATAATGCAGGCAAGGGTGGGTAATATAACATGGGCAAAGATCGGTATTATAATGCAGGCAAGGGTGGGTAATATAACATGGGCAAAGATGGTTATTATAATGCAGGCAAGGGCGGGTAATATAACATGGGCAAAGATGGTTATTATAACGCAGGCAAGGGTGGGTAATATAACATGGGCAAAGATGGTTATTATTACGCAGGCAAGGGTGGGTAATATAACAAGGGTGGGTAATATAACAAGGGTGGGTAATATAAGATAGGCAAAGATGAGTAATATAACACAGGACAAAGATGAGTAATATAACACCAGGCAAGGGTGGGTAATATGACATGGGCATAGATGAGTAACATAACACAGGACAAGGGTGAGTAATATAACACAGGACAAGGGTGGGTTATATAACACAGGGCAAGGGTGGGTAATATAAGATGGGCAAAGATGAGTAATATAACACTGGACAAGGGTGGGTAATATAACACAGGGCAAGGGTGGGTAATATAAGATGGGCAAAGATGAGTAATATAACACAGGACAAGGGTGGGTAATATAACACAGGACAAGGGTGAGTAATATAACACAGGACAAGGGTGGGTAATATAACACAGGACAAGGGTGAGTAATATAACACAGGACAAGGGTGGGTAATATAACATGGGCAAGGGTGGGTAATATAACATGGACAAAAATGGGTAATATAATGCAGGCAAGGGTGGGTAATATAACACAGGGCAAAGATGAGTAATATCACACAGGCAAGGGTGGGTAATATAACACAGGGCAAGGATGAGTAATATAACACAGGCAAGGGTGGGTTATATAACATGGTCAAAGATGAGTAATATCACACAGGCAAGGGTGGGTTATATAACACAGGGCAAGGATGAGTAATATCACACAGGGCAAAGATGAGTAATATCACACAGGGCAAGGGTGGGTAATATAACATGGGCAAAGATGATTAATGCAACTACCAGTGGGAACCAGAAACAGAAACAAAATCACAAAACAATAAACTGATTTTTTTTAGGTGGAAGTAATAGTGAACAGTGTACCATTTGATCTTGATTTATCAAATGGAGGCCTGTCAGAGGCCTTGCTCAAGGTCGCAGGTCAAAGCCTTCAGGATGAATGCATCAAAAGTTACCCTAACGGCATCTCCACAGGACAGATACTGACGACAAAAGGATACGGCCTTGCCTGTAACTACGTCTACCATGGCTGTCTACCAGACTGGTCAAACACTAACTCTGAGGAGGCGAAAGAGGTCAGTGCATTGTGGGATACATGTTTGAATCCATATGATATATAAAGTGATCGTGCCAGTCTGCAAGAAAATTTCAAAAGTGTCTGAAAGTTATTTCATAAAGGTCATAGGCCATGCAATTCTATTTATCCTGATTCAGAAACAACAGACACTAGGTTTTTCTATTACAAATGCCATGTCTGATGTTTTACAGGACCTATTTGGATTCATGATGGGCTGTCTAGAGGAAGCAACCAGCTACAGTACAACATCTATAGCCTTTCCAACCTTAGGAATAGGTAGTCTCGGCTATCCTGCTAATGTTGTAGCAAAGGAAATGATCAATTGTGTAAAGGAGTTTAGTGATGACAATCCCCAAACCACACTGACTGATATCCGCATCGTGATCTTCAACAAGGGCCAGGGTGTGGGAGCTTTACAGAAGGTATATCAAAGTCAAAGAGCAAGTGCATCTTACTGTACTTTTTGATGATAAGCTAAAACTTTTGAACGTCTACTTTTTGTTCTTGCGCATGATCACAAATTCAGAAAATGATATATGCGTGCTACACACAGTTATGTGGCAAATTGAATATTAATGATTTTTTTGTTTTTTGTTTATATATTTCAGGCTTTCAAAAGTGAATGTCAGCCTTTCATATCTTCAGGTATGCACAAAGAAAGTTATTAATTCACTGTTGAGAGCTGAGTGTCCTATACTAAAATTTCCATAGCAATGAAAAGTGTCATTTTTAGCTCATTTAACCCAAAGGACCATTAGTGAGTTTATGCTGTGTTGTGGCATCTGCCATCCATCCACCATCATCAACTTTTACATTCAAACAACTTCTAAATCATTAATAGACCAGATTTCACAGCATTTGTTGCTAGGTGAAGCCCAACGTTTGCTAAAACAAATGACCTTGACCTTATTTTAGGTCACAGTGGGTCAATTTGTTAAAACCTGTAAAATTACTTATACTGAATTACAAAAAGTTGCAGAAACATGGTATTAAGCTAATAGGTTTCAGTGATGAAGCTTGACAAAGTTTGGAAAAAAAGAAAGAAAAAGAAATGTGACAAACATTTAAGGTCACAGGGTACAATTTTTTTTAAAACTTAAAACAACTACATCTGAAATAGCCAAAAGGTGCAGAAGCATGGTATTTGGCTGATAGGTTCAAGGATGAAACATGACAAAGTTTGCAAATAGAAATGACCTTTTGACATTTGTTAAAACCTTAGAACTGCTTCTTCTCACTAACCAAATGGTCCAACAGTGTGGTATTTGGCTATACAATATACTGGTCTACTGAAAGGCCAAAGGACCTCAATAGTGGATTTAAGTCTAATCGAATAAATTAATGAATTGATAAACAAATAAAAGGTATTTGGCTCGCAGGTTCCTTCGATGAAGCCCAAAAAAGTCTGCACAAAGAAATGACCTTGAAGTTTTTCTTCAAGGTCACAGGGGTTGAATTTGTTGAAAACCTTAAAACAACTTCCTCTTATGAACCAAAGATGCAAAAGAATTTAGCTGACAGGTTCCTAGGATGAAGCCCAACAATGTTTACAAAAAGAATGAAGTATTAGAAGCTCCTTCTTGTGTTGGTTAAAATTGATTGGATGTGCTCGCTTTGAATGTCAATAAATTGGTGATAAACACTGATTCTACTTTTGGTGAGCATTGAATACCATGTGAGCAGTACAGGCCCGTTGAGCCCCTTGAATCAGCAGGCTTTTTTAATTGCTCCAAAATACATGATTGATCATCAGTGTTGATTATATATCTAGACCTACTGAAACAAATAGCTACGTAAATCAAACTTTGAAATACTGAATTATGTTAAGAAATATAAGCTTGATAGTAAAATGGATGAATCAGAACCACAAAGCCACCAGTTATGTGGTAAGAAACTTTAGAAACAACTTATGAAAATACTTTTCCAGGCAATGTCTTTAAAAGTACGATTGTGATTTCATAAGTAGTACATTTACAATCTTTTCAAACCCTTTTCAGTGCCTGTGACTCCTCCACCACTCCCTTTCCGTCAGCCTGTGACTCCTCCACCACTCCCTGCCCGTCAACCCAATGTACATAATCCTGATGCTTCGTCAGGAGACATGAAGACTCCATCACTGCAGAAACGGCCACCTCCAACAAAGGGAACTCAAGCTTATTTCAACTATATGTATGAACAATCTCCAATATCTCCATCATATTGGACTAAGTATGACAACAGTAAACCTCTCAAGGTCTGGAACTTGACCCTGGCTCCTACAGCATCCAGCCATGCTGTGTATTTACCAGTGACTAGAAATGTGTACAGAGCCATAGAAACACTTGTCAAAAAGTCCTGGAATGCAGCCCATTTTGGACATGGAAACGATGCTAAAGGCTTGGCACAGATTGGATACAGTAACCTCCAAGTTACAAATATTGAACGTATAGAAAATCCTGTTTTATATGAAAAATATGCTCAAAGTAGATCCCATTTTTTTCTCAAGGCTGCCAAATATGGAAAGCCATTGACTCCAATTGAAAAAATTGCTGTTTCCTCTAATACGCCGGTGCTGACTACAAAGTTGTGTGATGCTACTCTGATGCAGGACATCTATCCGGAGATTAATGAGCATTACACATTTCATGGAACACCTGAGGACAGAGTAGCGATCATTACTGCCCAGGGTTTGGACAATAGATTGGCTGGTAATACAGTCATCGGACAGGGGGTATACACAGCAGAGAGCTCCACAAAGTCAGACCAATATGCAGGTAACTTTTTTAGCGCACCATCATCAGACTCATCTTTGGCAGTCATAGATTTTGATCAATGTTTTTCAGACCCCTGCCGCAGAAACTGGCGGGGACTATAGTGTTTGTCGCCTTCTGTCTGTCAGAATATCGGTTTCCAGATGATAACTTCAGAAAGAATGAATGGATTTAGTTGAAACTTCATACATTGTTAGCTTATGAGGTAATGCAAAGTGGAAATGAGTTTGGGGTCAAAAGATCAACCACAAACCTTACTGTTCCTACAAAAAGATATTTTTCGTCAAATTTTGGTTTCCATATGAAAACTTTAGAAAGGATAGATTGACTTTATTGAAACTTCATACGATGTTAACTTATAAGGTAATAATGAGTGCGATCGAGTTTGGGGTCAAAAAATCAACTATGAAGGTCATTGTTGCTAAAAAATTTTTTTTTTTTGTCAAATTTTAGTTTCCAGCTCACTTCAGAAAGGATTGATAAATTTGGTTGAAATTTCATACAATGTTAGCTTATGAGGTATTACTTAGTGGAATTGTGGTTTGGGTCAAAAGGTCAACTTCAAAGAGCACTATTTATAAAAATAGACTTTCATCATATTTTGGCTTCAAGATGATAACTTGTGACAGGGATGACTGATTCTATTTAAACGTGATGCCATCTAATATTATTAGATAATGAATGGGGTGGGATCGGGTTGGGGATAAACATAGTGATGTCATTGAGAAATATTCAATTTCGTAGTGTGATCTGAAGCTGAACATGTTTGATGCTCTGTTAATTTGCCTGTTGATTCCGAAGCAGAAGGTGCTTACTTTTCCGAAACACCTGGTCTTATTCTTCTTGTACTTGATCAGGAGTCTCCATGTAAATCTTTGTTTTGTTTGTATTTTGCACTTGTTTTATGAAATTTGAGTTTAGATTATGATTATGTTGACATGTTAGTATTTTCTTGATATTTTTTTATTTAGAATAACTTTATAAGGATTATTAGCATAGGATGATAGATTTGATGGTATGCATGTGTTTACACTGGTTTACTAGCATCAGTGTCACAATTTTTTTTTCATGACACTTCAAAGGTATACCCTTTAATGTTTGTGTTCAATATTACTTATTGCAGGTGACCATGAAGGCTGCTAGGCCTCTTGTCTTAACACTAATTATCATCTAAGACATTCCTATATATCAGATCCCACCTAAGCCTTTTACAAGTCTCAACATTTATAGATTCCAAGTCATGACCTATCTTTTTCCGGTCCATGCTAAAGAAAATCTTTACAGTTTGTTCCAATTGTAGAAGTGACAACAGATTGTGTTTATCACAGCCATTTTCTGTCACTTTGAAATGGGTCCAGCTGTAATTTTGTGAATGTTCAAAGATTTTGTTAGAAGACATGGCTTATCTGATCAAGTGTTGTGCTTTTATAACCATTCAACATTTCCTGTTCTCGCCACAATAGCATGGTGCAAAAAATATCTGCACACTGATATTGTGTTTACCAATTTGTAGTGATCTGTTTGCTGTGTATATGATGTTTTCTTTCAGATCAATACATTTACAGGCGAACTAGTTATTCAGATAAAATTGGAGAATAATGGTATTTTATTTGTAAATGATCTGCTTGAGTAGCACCTCTCTGGAACATGTGATTGTCATGTGATCATCTTAGTGTTTCATGCGTCAAAATGGTACTGACATGTACTGGAGCCTGGATGAACTTTCAGAAAGTCACAAAAAAAGGCAGTTTTTGGTATTTTGGACACAGAAATGATGGTTGTTGCCAACATCAGACAGTTTTTCTGTTATTTTAGATCAATTGTTTAGAAAATTACATTGAGAAGAAAAAGTATATTCACATATGACAGGAAGTGACTTCATCAAGTTATTTAGGCAAGTTTGATGATATAGGGAAATATTGGCTATCAAGTTTCCTTATTTACAATTTTAGGAGAGAATATAAAAAATCAACATGGTCAGCTTCACACTCTTAACACATGCCGGAATGTAGGTTGAATCAGTAATTTCAAATAGCATTCTGGAGATTTAAGGTTCAGTGTGTAAGAAGGCAAACACTAACAACACAAATGCTTGACCAATGTGACATGGGATTGTGAACCATGACGAAGGGTCAAAATACCACAATGGTGTAACAGCCTTATATTTTGTTTTCAATTAATTTGTTTTTGCTCAATTTGTATCAGTTTGCTTAATTTTGTACCTACATATAGGATAAAACCCTCAAAAAATAACAAGGGTAGGGAAATGTAGGGTGGGGCAGGAGTCTCATGTTACTGTTAATGGTAAAGAGAAAAAATTCACTAATTTCACCAACTCTTTTCTAGATTACCTTGAAAATGTATCTAGTGAAAAAATGTGAATTAATAAGAAAATATTGAAATATTTCACTACTATAATGGTAAAGTGAAGCACCTTGCCCCTGAGGTCACTGGGACTGAAACTGAAACAGTTGATATACATACCCTTTGTATCTGGGGTTTGGGGACTGGGGTCTCCATACGGTATCCTTAGGATGACAGTTCTAGTAATCATATATACTAATTTTGAAAACTAAACGTAGTGAACATCGACATCTTCACAAGATGAAACTGCATGCTTAATTCATCAATGAAATTTCTGATGTTTCACTTTACAGATTATGTGACAAAGCGTGACAAGACAAGTGACAAGAAGATGTTCTTGACCCGAATATGTCTAGGAGAGCCGTATATATTAAATAAAAAACCAGCAGCTGCTTTCAAACGTCCTCCATGTAAAACATGCAAGAAAGATATGTGTGCTGATCTGTCACATGCAGGAAATTATGACTCGATTGTTGTGGAGGATTTCTGGATCTTTCGGGAATTTGTTGTGTTTGAAAAGGACCGATGTTATCCAGAATACTTGATCACCTACAAAAGGGTTTGAGGTCTGTGTGTATTGTATGGAGATGACCAGTGGTTTGTTCTGATACTTACTTCTACTACAGCAAATCCAGCAGGCCAACAAAGAAATTCTGGATAAAAGTTGTTTGCAAAACAAGGAAAATGCTTGTTGTCAACAATTTTCATTGTGCTCCAACCATGTTAGTAGGTGTACTACTAGGTGTTCAGTCAACATGCAGTATACAGTAACTATTTTCATTTTTTTTTTTTTTTTTTTCAAAATGTTTTATTGACAAAGGCAAAGACATGTAAAGTAATTAATATCCAAACATGAATATTGTTTTTTTCGTACACAATTCACATGTCACTATATTAACTAGCAAATATCATTATTTTATTTAATATATATAAAGTACAAGGAAACATTCAAATAAAAACTTATAATCCTAACAATAATATCTTAAGTTACCATTTACCTCGCTTCTACTAGTGAACCGAAACAACATAAACATGAAATCAATGGTGTTTGGAAATATGGAATTCATTCTGAAGGAGCCAAAATATTAAATTTTTTCACAGATAAATGAACATTGACAGTATTCAACTAAGTGGTGTAAATATAAGTATATATAAGATAAGGTAAATATGAGATAAGTTTGATATGAGATTCAGGTATATAGGAGCCTTACATACAAGGTTCCTAACTTAAAAATAAAGATGCATTGTAGACTTTTTTAATGTAGCACAAATAGTAGCAAGTAAAGAAATCAATTTGTTTACATTTTTTCAGACATCCATTTAATATGATCAAGCTGATTTGATAAAAATCGGTAATTAACCAGCTAGAAATATAATGTTTGTGACACTTCCATGACATGGGAAATTATCCAACATGCAAATTTCTTTTTGTTAAGGTACTCATGTTATTTTTAAAAAGTACAGATAATAAAAAAAAAAAAAAATTATAGGTGATATACCAGGTAACAGCAAATCTTACACACATTTATATCTGGAAATTAATTATTACAAATAATCCTGTTTTATTTGTATACATAAGTATGAGTGTAACTAATTATATAGTTCAAATTACAAAGAAACAATTATCATAGATAGCAAAAGGTTCAGCCGAATACCCTCGTGCTTCTGAGCAATGTCAAAATGGTCTAGCAGTGCACTATAGTTTCATTTATATTGACCAAAAGTGTTTAGAGGGTCCATGGGCATTTGTTTCTAAATGAAAGCAACATTAACCTACAAAACATTATAGCATATATATTGTGGTGTATTGAAATTCTGAGCCTATTACCATATCTTGTAAAATTATTACAATAACTAATTAGTGCAACCATATCAACTGCTGTTTGTAATCAGTATAAAGTAACAGAAAAAATAAGTTTTTTTACCAAATACTGTGTATTCAAGAGTTTTCTCAAACATAGTATGTATTTGTATTAAGTACATGTATCACATTTTTGACAGCATGGATATTACATATCTTATAATGTGTTTTGGAAAGCACTGTAAATTGCTTTTTTTATTAGTATTCTTATATCATTCAACAGTAAGTCTTTGTATATACGTTATTTCACGTTGTTTCTTACTTTCCTTATTGTATATTTCATGCTTATCATATTGAATCTTTCTGTTCATCTACATAATTCCCAAGGAGATATTTCTCTTCATTTCTTAAGATATGCAGAAGTTTGTGTTTCCATGGCAGACCTAATTCATCATATGATAAAAAACTGTTGTACATAGTAACAGTTATGAAATCAATGACAAAGTGACTGGCTATATTCACAAAAAAGACATTTACCATCAGCTCTCTTCATTAATTGTAGCTATGTTGCTGTATAAATAATTCAGTTTCATGTTTTTGAGGGGTTTCAGTGTATTAAGGTTTTGTCCAAATAATTTCCCAGCTTTTTACCTCAATCTTGCTAATTTCAAAATTTGTTTTGTATAATTTTTACTGCCACTGTTTGTCTGGCATCATGCATCTGTAATTTTCCAACATGTTTGACTTCTCAGAAACCCTTCATCTAATTTCAGTGAAATTTTTCATAAACTTTTCCTGGTTAAAGAGAAACAAAAGGAATTAGTTATATGGTCCCCACACTCCAGGGGCCTGATGGCTTGGGCCAAAAGAGGTCAAATTGACTCAAATTTCTGAAATCTTCCTGTCAACACCTATATATGGTAGAATAAAATGCTCTTCATGGATGGAAGGATCTAAAATTTCCCCCTGGGGAGGAGGTAAAAGTAAGGTATAAACTATAGTTGATATAGGGGAAGTACATTTTGGACATAATTTGTTTAATTTCCATTGGAAATATTTCAGACTTGGTTAGAATTATTAGCAAAGGACGATAGCTTGATGATATGCCCTAATCCTGGCTGACCCAGAGGCTGTTTAACGGGCCAAAAGCGGTTAAAATTACATTAATTTCAAAAATCTTCTTCTCAACACGAAGGTATGGTAAAATCAAAATGCTCTTCATGTATGGAAGCGTTTTAATGGGCTTTAATCCAAAAATTGATCTCACATTTCTTCTTTACTTTAATTTCTGTAGAAAAATAGCAGTTTTGAGCAGATTGTTGTGCATTTCCCACTGGAAGTATTTTTGTCAGAATCACTAGTATAGGATGGCAGTTTTGCTGGTATGCATGTATTGACACTAGCTAACTCTCATCATTGTCACAGTTTCTTTTCCATAACACTGGATAACTACTTACCCTTTAACCTTTATATTCTATGTTGCTTATTTCGGGTGACCATCAAGGCCCGTAGGCCTCTTATCAGAAACATCCATCATACACACACACCCTCACACACACTCTCACTCACACACACACCCTAACTCACACACACCCTAACTCACACAACCTCACTCACACACACACCCCCTCACACACACACCCCCTCACACACACACACCCTAACACACACACCCTAACATACACACCTAGAGCGCCAAATTTAATGAAATAAACCATATCAGTCCAAAACTGGACACTTGAATCAGCTGTCCAGTAGTTGGTAATTTGTATTTATAGGTATATGATATACAAAGGGAGGTAATTATATTGTCAAGTTAAATTATATCTTGATTATCATGTTTTACTGATCTATGAGTGTGGAGCATAGCCATATTGTTACCATCTTGTGTATTCTTTGGTCTATAATCTGTCATATACCATCTCGTCATACTATTTTGACCTTTATGTACACAGGACTGTAGTACAACCTAAAACATTGGCAAATTCCTTACCATCTCATACACTATGTAGGTCAGTGCTAGTATGCTCCACACTGGTCATTTGTCTGATGAAGGTGACCGTGTAGTCACCAAAACTCTAATCTTCTATTGGTTGTGTTATAAAAACTTCTATTCCATGTTAATGTTTTAGCTCCATTCCTTTAGCTGTGGTTTGAGGGCCAGATTTGCCCTTAATTTTGATGTACTTTATTATATATTATAAAACCCCAAGTGCCTTTTCAATTACTCATCCATCCATCCTTTGTTATATTTAAGTTTATGTAATGGAATGTCACATTTAATGTACATATATCATATGTATTTTGTTTATTTTTATTTCTGTGAGAAAAAATGTCAAACACAACACTCTAAATTGGCATGATGAGATTGTATTGCATATAGATATGTATATTTATGAATGTATGCATGATTTTATTTCGTATATGTTTGGCATGTTGAGATGTGACAATTATTTATTTTTTTCATTATCAATAAATTGTGCCATAGAATAAGAATTCTTGTTTTAATGTATAAAATTGTTTATATCTAACTGATCAAAGTTTAAACATTTTTTTTTATTGTGAAATTATTGCTGCATCAATTTCCAGTGAAACTGATAGTATATGGGTAATTAAAAATTAGAAATGATTATAAGCTTATATTAACTACTTTTCCTTTTTAGTGCATTTTGCAGATTATAAACTGAAATAGAGAAAACAAAAGCAATATATATATATATTATCAAAATTGATCAAATTGATATCATTACATCACATACACATCAATACCTATCAGACAAAGTTATTTTTGTATTCTACGCCTACGTTGTGGAGGTGATGAATTTAAAGTTCATGACCGTAAAAGCACCTGCCACCATTGTCTCATGTCTCATGGTGGCGGATGGCACAGGGATGAAATATTTTGAAAAGTGTAAGCAGCTTCATCTTAATAACCAAAGGGGCAAGTGTCTTGTTACTGGGCATGTAGCATGCCTTGTCAACAAGCAATATGTCAGAGTAATGGCATTTGTGTTGTGAAAATAAGAGGAAGGATCAGAAGAAAAGAATGTTTGTATTTGACAAGAAGTAATTTTCGCTGTCAAGATATTCTCAATAATTGATTAAAACATAGATTTTCATTAACTTATACAAATAACGTTATGTGATAAATAAAACGGCATATCTTCAGAACATTTTTGCTTTTTTGTTCTCGTGTTGGCATTATCTGTGAGTTTCCACCTAAAACAAATTATAGTGAACATAAATTAATGCTGTGAAACTGTTTGCAAATTAAAAAATAAAATAAATTGATTATTTCAGGTTTACGAGTTTTCTTTTATAAAAGAACTTCCAACAAGTCTATTACGTCGTGTGACTTTCTCATAAGCTATTGAAAGTAGATACATGAATACCCACCTGGATGTAGGGGATTTAGATACATTTGTTCTTATCTTAATTTTCTTTGAAGGGTTTTAATGTATTAAAAATAATTAATAATAAAAAATAAAACTGCATTTTCTCGGTTGAATCATCGACAACAGATGTAATGAGCGAGACGGTGGTCATGATTATTACTTCGATGCTAAAATAGCCCAGCGATCCAGCGATTTCCCTTACAATTAAAAGTTGGATTAAAAAGATAGGAACACAACACATTTTGATAAACGTAAAGGACAAAATGTTTGATGAACACATATTTCGTGAATTCTACAGCAAATGAAAAGATGCGTCACGTCCATGACCCCACATCGACGAGACGACGATTTTGTCATTTTTTTTTTCAAATAACCGAGATGACGTATTACTATCCACCGCTCCCAAAGAATTTTTGCCAGTCAGCTTTATCATACACGTGATTGCAACTTGTTTTTTTGTCGTTTTCAGTAAGCTGTATGGGGGCACTTATGAATTAGATGTAAATTTAATTATCACTCTTCAGAGAGAAAAGGGTTGGTAGATTATGCGGACAAATCGGTGGTGCCGTGCATAAGGTAAATAATAGACATATCAAACGTACCTGGATACCACGTGATATCTGTACTTTCAAGTTACGCAGTGATAATTATTTGACGTCATTTATTTTTCCATCCAAATCTAATTCAAAACATCAAAGTTACCGCACGAAAAAAAACCCCGACTTTTTCATGATGGTGGATCACTTAACTGTGTATACACATATCAATAAAACTAAACAAAATGAATTCAACTACAACAAATATTAGAATTTTATCAAATCTCTCAACTAACTTCCTAGACCACTTGTGTGTTTCCAAAACTTATTTTTCCAATTTAAGTAAGAGACAGAACGATTTAAGTAAAAAGATCATAACAAGCCATATTAATTTCACTTAATTGTTGACTTTAAATTCACTTATTATTCATATGATAAACTTTTATTTCGTTTCTCTTTACATAGCATCAGTGGTAACATCAAACACGTGATTGAAATTGGATACGGAAACAAGAGTAACTTAATAAAGAATTTATCAAATCAACTAGAGTACTTGTGTGTTTCCCAGAAAATTTAATGGATGTTTGTGTTTAACATTATATCATATGTTATATGGTTACTATGTAAATAAGTTTGTTTAACATTATATCATATGTTATATGGTTAGTAACATTATAATGAGATAGATAAATAATAGGAAAAGTGTAAAATCAGACAATTACGATGTGTTTTATAAACAAGTACTTCGGATTTTTTTCTGTACATA